CAAACACTTCCCCAGTCGAAAGATAATGCACGAAAAAATTGATTGAATTTTTCGCTCCACCCCGATTATATTGTTAAAAAAAATCAATCTCCAATCGGCTAAATTGAATCGAACAATTTTTACAGAAACTGAATTTCCCATTGATACATTTTTAGCAATATCCCTCTATATTGCGCTCGTCCAGCCATACCAGTGTCTAACGAATGATATCCTTTTGATGTCGTCCACATGGGGTGAGAGCGAGTCCCACCAAAAAAACCGAAACCAACGAGAATGAAAAACGAATGAAAAATATTTTTAAAAAACACAAACAAGCGACATTGCGGGGTGCATTGTAACACGAGTGGATACATAATAGGTTTATAAAAATTCATGGCGAGTCTAGTGAGCCGAGAGTTTTTATTATAAATAAACCAGAGACAGTGGATTGGCGACAATGACGAGAGCCATCGTGAATACCCTGTACAAAAGAGAACGACATTTCAGGTGAAGAGATACGAGACAGAATAAGCGCAGATGATGGGGAATATGTTTTGCAGTGGTCGTTGGGGATGGCTTAGGCGTCTGTTCCTTTGGTCCCGCAATGTCCAAAGCGCCTCCATTTACCTCCGAAAAGCATCTCCTCTTTTCTAAAACGAAATCCCCCCCGCCCCTTAGGAATTTCAAAAGCCCGAAACCCTTTTATCCCGCATTAATCCAGAATATAATTGAATTTTCTTTCCTCTCTAGTCCTCCTGACAAGATGGATGGTCCTAGCCTCATCAAACACAACCACCGCGATACCTGATGACGACGACGACGACCTGAACATGGACTTTGAAACCTTCAAAAGCACGATAAAACGCTACAGAAGACTAATACCTTACATAAGTCACTACGTTGCGAATAATAATGTGAATCAACCGAACCAATACGATGGTAAAACAGCCAATCCCGAGAGACTTATTCATCGACCAGACCCACTGAGATCACCAGGACACGTAACCACACTCGTTAAACAAGAAAAATTTGTCCCCTCAGTTCAATACGATCCTAAAGACATAGGAGGTGATAACGACTACTTTACACCGGTACGATACACTAAGCCAACTTACGAGGAGTACTACAGGGATTACGATCGCAGGCCAGTTTATCAGCCTGAGATAACGACACCCAAGGTTCAGGACACAAGATACTACCAGCAGGAGAGAAGACCCCAGAGTGTCAATCCCTACCTCCCACTTCACAAGCAGAAAGTTCCGAATATCTATCGAGACTATTTTCTCGATTATCAGAAACCAAATTCAGCTTCGAGTCAAGGTAATGAAGATTACTATCCAGTGGAAGACTTCGAGTCCCTCAAGTATGTCAGGATCGAGCCACCCCGTGCCTACAAGCACCAGCACCAACATCTGCCTCAACCCCAACCCCTCAGACTTCAACCCCTTCGTCAACGACGACCAATCTACCAGCCGACAACTCCAGTGATAGAAAATGAAAACATTCTCAAAAGCTTGCAACTGACGAATCAGCTACCCGAGATGCTGAACAGAGAGAACATTGACGCAAGTTTAAAGACACTGGCTGAAATATTGAGTCTCCTCCGAGGCACGAGGAAACCCGATAGTGCACCCTCGCATTTGTCAGAGCCCGTTGTTTCACCGTATGTGCAAAGCTACAGTGATTCCAAGGATCACTATAATGTACCAAAAGTAGTGACTGAAACTAGATACCAGGCAACCCCGTCACCCCTCGTTGACAACGAACACGTGAGATTTAAGACACCACCTGCATACAGTAATAATGGAAAATCCAAGTTGTCTGGTTACTCGGATTACGGTGTTAAGAGTCAAAATTTCATAGAGTATTATCAGCCGGTTGTTCAGGATATTGATGAGAATGGTAATGCTCATGATTATGATAGTAGGCCTTACAAAATTGATGATAATCAGGATTACGAGGTAAGACCGTACAAGGTTGATGCAAAACCTTATAAGGCGCAGAATACTGACAGTTATGAAATAAGTGAGGATGTTGATGAGGGAGAGGATAAACAAGTGGCAACAACACCCGAAGCACCCAAACACTTTCAACTTGCTGAAGGCCTCATCAGTGAGGCCCTCAATATTCCGACAATGGCAATCAAGTATGGTGCTACTAGGGGAAAACCCGGTATCGATTATCCAGCTTATGCTGTGATACCGGAGACTCATTTCAACTGCAAGGACCAGAGGTACAAGGGATTCTTTGGCGATCCGTCCACTGGATGTCAAGTGAGTAATTGAATCAGCGGGTGAATTACATCTTTTTTTGTCACATGAATTTTCATTTGAATACTTTTTGGGGAATTCCTTGCGGATGGAAAATTGATGCAGACAGACAACTGTTTTATAATTCAAGAGATGTAAATTTCGATTGGGCAAGACTCAAAGAAATACAATTGTTCCTATTTTATTTTGCAGAAGAGATGAAGTTATTCAGTAGTGAAATGCAGTCGAGGATTTTTTAGTGTCGCATCGATAACAATAGATTGGGAGATTTTCAATCGTGAAATTTCTCAATTACATTGCGGGGGACAAGCTTGTTTTTTATTTGCATGAAATTAATTTTTGATAGAGTCGTGAATGGGAGCAACTGTCGTAATTTTTAGGGTGCAAAATTCATTGTTTATGAATAAGGACGTCATAAAAACAGGTTTTCCACTTATTAAGGATATTCAAGCACTTTGGCTATTTTTTTCCCAGTGAAATGCGTTTCTACTTTTATAGTCGAACATCAGAGTTTTCATTTGAGCCCCATTTGACCTGAAATTTCCGGACAATTTACAATGATTTTATTATTTGATCTTTGTAGGTCCGAATTTGAAGCTCGATATGGAACCGTTAGAAAACATTTTAACAATCGGGAAAAAAATAGCAAGTTTTGTTTTGGAGGAAAACTGATGAAATAATTGAAAAATTGGAATTATGGATAACCTTTAAAAAAATCCTGGAAAACTGGACTTTATCATTTTCTTGCACCTATCTCTGAACATATGGTAAACTCACGAGAAACAACTTGTGAAAAATAGCACTATCTCTATGAAATTCAGAGCTATTGATCGAAAAGTGAATCCAAAGTTGAAGAAACTATATTCCACCCCTTCAACCCTAAATTCTTATTCAAAATTTTTACTAATTCATCTTGATCTCCACTTTTATTTCACCTTCTTAGGTCTGGCATTATTGTGACTTGAACGGTGGAAAATCGTCCTTCCTCTGTCCAAATGGCACAGTATTCAGTCAACAAGCACTCACCTGTGACTGGTGGTTCAATGTCAAGTGTGAATCAACAACTCAACTATACGTACTCAACGAGAGACTATACAAATTTATTCTACCAATTATGCCCAAGTTTCCGGAGGATTTCAGTGGTCCAGAAGTGGATCGTTATCTAGAGATGAAATTCCAGGAGATGGAGGCGAAAATGAAAGCTAAGAAATTGAAAAAGGCTATGGAGAAGAAGAAGCAGGAGAAGACAACGATGAGCACTGTCGAATAGTGCTGAGTAGTTGAGGAAATATAACAGGGGCCAATAGTGGATCTTGTTTCATGTTTCGTTGCCATTAATATCATTCTCGTAAATTCATTCGGAAATTTGATTTTTAATTTTCTCACTCCACTGAGTGGGATATACATGAAAACGGGTATGTCGATTAATCAATAAGTATTTGTCTATTTCTCTAGTCATACTTGTACTTGTTTGTTTTCTTTATTATTTTTATGAGACTGTACTTGATCCACCCCTTGAACTGCGCTATTCAGTACCTAACGATTGATTGTTGATCGATTATCTGTTGATTGAGAACAACGGTTGGATTCTTCGTATTTCTCGATATTAGTTATTATGGTGGAGGGTAGCAATTTCTGTAACTCATTGGGGAATTTGAAATTAATTTTTCAATCTATTTAGTGATATTTGGGAGACGAAGTAGGAAACTCAGGGTCTAGGGCGAAAGGGTAATCACTCATGAAATCCGGTGTAGAGGTTGTATTGAAATCCCATAAAATATTACATGAACTTCTGTCAATTTCAAGCATTTGCTTGAAGTATCATCACCAGATATATCTTAAACACCAAAAAATCTCTTGAAATTCCGCCACAAATCTCATTCCAACCGCTCGAAATCGTGAAATTTTACTTCAATCGCTTGAACGTATGTGGAGTTTCGCAGAATATCTTTGAGATATTTCTTAATCATTCAAAGTAGCTCTACCCTTTTATTAATTCTTCAACTAAATTGCATGAGAACAATATGAAAAAATGTTACTATAACTTTAAACATTTTTTTCTCGTAAATAATTAATGGAAGTTGTTTACAAAAGGGTCGATAATTTTTATGCGGTGTCGAAATAATTCTCAAATTTTCATAAAAACAGATTTTAGTCTTTTAACTGATTTTCACGTTAGAGCCTGAGTTAATCCTGATTTATCAACATTTTCCATTTGAAAGACCAAAGGTCATTAAAAATTGTTTCTAAGTTTTTAACAATCTTTAATTGTTTTTAACAATCTTTAAATTTACTTTAACATTCTATAAACTCTGAAATATTTTGTAATCCTTGAAAATCTTTGAGGATTTCTCTACATTTCATGAATTTCCTGAAAATATCAAAAAATCTTTCAGAATCTTTGAAATATTGAAATCCTGAAATCCAGTGTAGAAGTTTTCATGGAGTGATTACCCCCCGGGCCTCACGTAAAAACCCGATCTTTTCTCGTAAACAGTACCTAATATTTCTAAATATCAAAGTGGTGATGTTGAAACAATTATTTATTATTTTTATAGTTTTTTTTTCTTTACTTCATTAATTCGATAATTAACGACGATATCCTACAATTTCTCACTCTAACAGAGCAATTAAAACCGTTTGAGTTGATGGAAGAGTTATTAAATCGATCGGAGATTATTGTTTAATTAGTTGATTAAACAATAATTGTTTACAACAATAATTGATGAAAAATTAATTCGTGTCACTGACCTTTCGGGAATCTCTCGTGAGGAGGAAGGTGTCTCCTAGGTTGGCGCAGGCTTCCTGGAACTCATCCAGGATCTGAAGATTCTGGAAATATAATTGAAATAAAATTAAATCAATTTTTACGATGTAGAAAAATTTTGTAAAATAAAATAAGCAAATGTGAATTCAGTTTGTCATTTTCTTTGTTCATTACCTTTTCTCTGAGTCTGATTACAGTGTGGGTTCGATGAATTTCGAAGCCACAGTCGTGACAGCAAGGTTCTTCACAGTTTTCACACCAGTGTGTGAACTTCTGGTCCTTGTGTTGATCGCAGAAAATTGGCAAATAAACTAAATTTGCTAGACTTGCATCCAGTGGAGTCATCATATGGTGTTTATTCGTTTTGAATACATGTAACTGAAATGAATAAATGAGGAATAAAGGGTGTCCTTTGGAATGGTCTCTAGAATTTTTCATTCTATTAATTATCGAAATATCTCCACAACAACTAATTTCAAGGCAAAATATCAGAGCTACACGGAGATAAAAAATTAGCTCTGCCGAAAAACTATATGTTCCACGTGAGAAATATTTGATGGAGTGGAACAAATTTACTGGAGGAAAATTAACCAACCTGATAAAAGGAAATTTAATATTAATTCACAAAAATTTAATTTTTGTCGTGATCATCAGAAATATCCCTAGAAGAATTCGAACTGTTGGCAGGAAAAAATATAGTCTCTTGTACGACAATCATTTGATCTGAGAGAAAGAATACATTGACAAAAAATATTTTTTCCCAAAAAAAAAATTGTCGCCGCGAAATTATTTGGTTTTGCCAATGACACAGTTTTCAGTAAGAAAATTGTAGTTCCCTCTTGAAATTATCATTTGTTCTATGGAAATTATAAGTGTTTATTGGACAAAGATATATACTACTCAATAACATTGACTTGATAAAACCGGAGCTTCACATAATTCTCTGTAGAACGAATGAATTTACCTGAAAGACATAAATGTCTCACGAGAACAATTACTACTATGAAAATTATCATGTTTTGGTGGCAACTTTCATTTTTCTTCAGAGGAATATATAATTTTTCATCAGAACTGATTTTTTCTCACTACAAAAAGGGCTTTCTGAACTTGATTTGGAAACACGATAAAATTCAATCCCAGAAAACACTCACGTTCGAGAAACACGACTTGCAGTAGGTGTTTTTACATGGTATACACTTGACGCTTGCCACCTTCGCGCACTCGTGGCATCTTTCAGCGACAGCAATGTGTTGAGCCTTCGACTTCAGGGACTTCTCGAAGTTGAGTTTGGGATCGTCGTGGTAGCTCAGCCTCGGCCTGTTGATATTCAACAGTCCCATGACATAAACATGGAGCGTTGGCTCAGTGCTCTGATTGCAACCAGGGAGGGGTGGGGTGTCTTTGCAGACAGGACAGGCCTCGTGTGCCCTGACTTTCGAGCATGTATCACAAATTACATGTCCACAAGATCGTGCCAAGGGCATTGTACTTTTCCCAAAGCGAAAATGATCTAAAAAAACCAAAGAGAAAAAAAAATTGCAGAAAAGCGTATTTAAAAAAAAAAATTAATTCGACGAGACAAATAATGACAATAATAATATAAATAATATATCAATAATATATTATTATTTATAGTTGAAAAACAGGAATGTATGATTTATTCTTTCTCGTATTCTCAATAAAAAAAACGAATGGCTGGAAGGAAGAAATTCTAACCAATAAGAAACATAATAAAAGACAAATCGTAAAAAAAATTATTGCATCCAATAAAATGAATATGATAAATTTCTTTTTAAGATAAATTCCCGTTATTAATTAAATCAGAATGAAAAATAGTACATTAGAGTACAAGGGCACAAATTTCGTTTTCAACGAATGTGTAGTTTACAGGCCGAGCCGAAGGGGAGGTCTATACACACATTCGTCGAAAACGAAATTTATTACCGAGTGCTCTATAATATTTTATGTCAAGTCGTGCAGAAGTCGAGTTTTGAGCAGGCTGCGCGAAGCGCAGCGTGCGATAAACTCGACTTATTGCACGGCGCGACATAAAAACTTGTATTTATTATTCCCTCTGTTCCCCCCAAGAAAACAAACACAAACGACTGAACGAAATAAAAACAAATCTAAACCACAATATCAACAATGAACGATCGTAATCGTTAGGTCGCCGTCTGTTTTCACCCCAAAGTTAATTAATATTTTCATTCCTTACCCAAAACTTCTAAGGCATAAAAAAATCTAACCAATAAAGAAAGTAAAAAATTAACGAAATTGAATGAAACCTCAGTGATGCTGTAAAAATAACCCATTCACCGAAAAAAAACACCACTCACTAACAGAAATAGTAACAATTGCTGACTAACAATGAATTCTCATTATTGATAGTAATAAAAAAAATTGCCTTTTGTCCCCTCTGACCCCCTTGACAAAAGAAGAACAAATGAACGAACGAAATAGAAAAAATTCTAACCGACAGTATCAACAAAGAACAATCATCAAGTCTTTCTTTTTCACCCCGGGGTTAATTAATATTTTCATTCGTTACCAAAATTTTCAATTCATGAGAAAAATCTAACCAGCAAATAAACAAAAAAATTTACGAAATTAAATGAAACCTCAGTGACGCTAAAAAAATGGAAAAACAACTAATTCGCCGAAAAAATCACTCCCCAATAGAATCAGTAGGGGAAGTTGGGGTAAAACGGACACTTTTGACTTTTTTTAAAATGCTAATGAGGGGTTGAAATGTTGATAAAATTTAATATATTTTTTTTAATGCAAAGAACAATTCTTTTCCTTTGTGACGAGCCTAAACTGAGCTCAATTGATCAATTTGTTTCTGAGTTATGACTAATTTAAATAAAGTCTAAAGTGTCCGTTTTACCCCACCCTCCCCTAAAAATTGCTTATGTAAAATCAATTCTCATTATTAATAGGAATAATAAAAAAACTCGTGTTTCATTCTCTTTGTTCCCATCAACAAAAGGAAAACAATGACTAAACAAAACAGAAAAAAATTCACCGCGCAATAACAACACTGAACCATCGTAATCGTCAAGCGTCATTTGTTTATACCCCAGAGTTAATTAAGGTCTTTATTCATCAGCCAAAACTTCCCACTAATTTTCTCTGCCGACTCAACCAAAAAAACCAGCGGAATGCACGAAGAAAAACCTAACCAACAAAGAAAGGAAAAATCCCCGAAATGAAATAAAACCTCCTTTGTTCTAATTTCATTCCAAATAGTATCAGATTCATTACCCAACGCTGCAATTCCCGGAACCGTTGGCGACACGAAATGAAAACAAACAAACACCTCTGGTGGGAACAAAGCGTCTAACCGAATGTAATCCGCGAAAATCCCCCAGCAAAAATCTCAAGAATTCATCTGATAATATTTCCCGAGGAAAAATTGACAAAGAGCCCTGGTCCTCGCAACTCCGACGAGACAAAAAGAAAATGCCTCCATGTATCGGCCTTTGTTACGCCATAGACGCCACATACCTCTGATGACAAACGTTTTTTTACAGAAGACGCAGCAAATGTTCTTCATCTTGATCTCAAGACGCCCGTAATTATTGTCAGGAGAGTCTGGCTGGGGCATCAGAGTTGTTCTGTATTTTTTTTTTACTAACGACATTGTCTCACCCCCGAATTCGAACGTTAAACGATAACTAGCACTCGACCGAACGACTATTGACGTTACCCGTAAGCCGGTCACCGGCACGATGACACGAGGGAGAATATTCAAGAGCCCACGCGTCTCCCCTTGAAACTTTGTTTTCTTTATTCAGCCAATCGTAGGCTCGACTCGGCGTAGTGCCGATGGGTAGGGGTGGGCAAGTGATTTCGTCGTCCGTGTAGGCGCGAATATGAGGGAGTTTGAAAGTTTGAGGATGTAAGGTTGAAGGGTGTTGGTGAATTATTTTTAAGTGACAGTTTCAATCAGATTCTAAGGAATTTCGTTACTGAAAATTCACAATTTGCGGAGAAGTCAACGGAAACTACAAAATTCAGTTCAGTTATTCCATGAAGTTTGGTGAAATCGAGAACATTCTGGTATGTATATTGATTGGGCACTGAATATTCAGAGTTTCATTGGAAATTGAAGTAAATCTGGAATATAAAATAGATTATAATATTTTTAATAGCCAAATTTTTCGATTAAATTGCACGAGGAAAATTTTGAAATATTATAGATAAAATTTTTGATCACGAAAAATCTTAATCACATAAAATGTCAATTTGAAAGCGTGTTAGTGAATTTTTATTAAGTGACAATTTCAATGAGATTCTGAAGAATTTCGTTATTGAAAATTTATAATTTGCGGAAAAATGAATGGAATCTGTAAAGTTCAGTTTAGTTATTCCATGAAGTTTTGTAAAATCGAGAAAATTCTGATAAATATATTTGTTCGGTACAAGAACCGATGTTTTTCACATGTTAGAATGGGGAAAATTCTGAGATCATAATTTACGGAGACCGAGAGTTTGGGGTTCTAGTTATCCCTTTTTTTGTCAGTCACGAGAAAATACCCTTTAAAATTTGAGAATTTTAGTGAGACTTCGTTTATAATAGTAGAATCATAAATGTCAGGATTAAGGAAAGTCGGAAGGAAAGGGACAGTTCCCACACGTGTTGACAGAATGCGCAAAAACGGAGGGTCTCGGGTCTCTGGGTTTTCCCCAGCAGCAAAAATAGGGGTATTTCAGAGTTCGGAAAATGCCCAAGACCTCCCAACGGTCATTTTCGTCAACGCCTTCCCACTTTCACTCAACCAATAATTTAAGGGGTAACGGAAGCCGTCGCAAAAGTTTGTTTTTTCAACCCATTTTTCTTCGATTGTGTCTAATATAAACGGCTGAAATTTTCAAGACTAGCGAAGTAAGTTAGCCAGTAAGAATTTTCATCCCTTCCAGTTTCAAAGACAGAACTTGGAATGTTCTTAAAACTCTAGTTAGTTACCTTCTAGACAACGTTCAGTACAGACTCTTCTCTCTGAACCCTTTTACTCATTTCCGGTTATTCTTTTAATTCAAAAAATCGCGCAATAGTGATACTTCAGTCGTAGTGTTATATTGTGCCTTATTTATACCCTTCAATTTATCCATTAGACAATTTATTATAGTGAAAAGTTAGACCTTTTGATTGTGCACTGAATATTCAGAGTTTCATTGGAAATTCCAGTAAATCTGGAATACAAAACAAATTTTAGTATTTTTAGTAGTCAAATTGTTCTATTAAATGGCGTGAGGAAAATTAAAAAAAAAATAAATGAAATTTATGATCATCACATAAAATCTCTTAATTGTGATTTCTGTTTTTATTCCCCTGGAAAAATTAATCTTTAAACATAAACAAATGTCTCTTGATCGAAATGAAAACTCCATTAGTTAGAAATAAAATCATTATTTAGACAACGAAGAGAAGGAATTTATTAACATGTATGGATACATTTTGCACAGAATTAGAATTTTTTAACACTCGTCGTTTAAAAATAAATAATTTAAATTGTTTAAATTTTCGGAAACCTTATTTTTTAGGCATGAAGTTGATTTCTGGTAAAATGCAGAATATGAATAAATATGTTACAATTCCAAACAAATGATTTTTATGGTAGAAAATTGATTGTTCATAAATTATTCACAGAAAATGCTCATATTCAAAAATTGCAATTTTTAAATTATCTCATCAATCTTTTTCTTTGAATGGGAATCTACCTTCGAACAGGAGGAGGGGAGAGTTTTCCATGGAACCGCCCGCGAAGCCCTCCCCACCGCCTTGCACCCCCTCGATAACTGCCCCAAAATCATCCGAAAAAATCGATACCCCCATCTAATTAAAGTCCACAATTACGCGCTGATGTAACAAGCTTCTCCCAATTGCCGGGAGAGGGCAGCGCCCTGACGCTTCGCGATCCTCCTCGACCTGATCTCTCTCCTCTCCCCCCGCAAAAAGAGCGAACAAACCAAGAGTATCCGGCGAGCAAAAAAACCAAGAAAAGAATTGCGAAGCTATGCGGACTGCCATCCGGGACTAGGTGCGGCCTGTAGGATCCGTTATGATTCCCCGGCGACATGTGCCGGTTCAACGGTGAGTGGCTATGTACACCTCGCCGTGGTGGGGACATCCAAGAGAGAAACTCACTCTCTCAACGAGATGAATAAAGACAATAGACACGAGAAGTGTTTCTGCTAAGTACAGACCCTTGCAGAACGCTCAATCATTACTTCCGACTTCCTGGTGCACGTTAGAATCATCTCCCAACTTTTTCTGCATTCTCCCGCAATTAGTAAAGACAAAAGAATTTTTTCGGATTGAAAAAACTGATTTGACACAATAGCGTATTCGCTATTGTGTCAAATCGCTGTAATATTGTTAAAAATTTTCTCCTGAATTTTCCGTGTTAAATCCCGGAGTTTTGTTTCATGTTTAATTTTCACTGAAATTTCAGGAAATCTTGTCATTGCAAAATCAAATATTCCATTAATTTTTTCATCGAATTTGCAGAAAATCAATAAAATACTCAATTTTTCATTAAATTACATTAAAGACAGGAATTTATATAGCGTTCCACATATTTGTGACGTCATAGGAAATAATTGGTTGGGATTTGGATGAGGTAGGAGGGGAACCGGGATTATTCTCAATATGAATAACCAGAACTTTTTTTCTTACTGATAAAAATGGATAGTCCAGAGTGGGATCAAATATTCCATTGATTTTCTCTTTGAATTATCAGAAAATCGATAAAATACTCGATTTTTCAGTTCAATTATTCCACGAAAATTCGGAAAAATCAGGAAAATTCAGGGAAAAATGGTTCTGAATTTTCATGTTCCATAAAAAAATCAACCAAGTTGTGAAATTTCCGTCTCACTCCCACTGAAAAGCAGGAATATCCATTAATTTTCAAATTCTTCAATATTAAAAGAATTTCCGACTTACATTGATCAAGGCTCAATTTCCAATGGGTGATAAGGCTAAATTTCTAATAGATGATAAATTAAATATGAAAAAATATGGAACTATAAATTTTCTATCAAGTAGATAAACTAAATTTCTCATAAGGGATTTCCGATTATGCAAATAATCATCAATCTTCCTAACTCAATTACTGATTAATAAGTAATTAAAAATTCCACTATTTAAATTGATGATTATTTCAATAATTAAGATTTGATCATTTCAATAATTAAAAGTGATATATAACTAATTGACAACTGAATAATTTAACAGTAATTATAATTATTGCTATTATTTATTCATCTATATATAACCGATTAGGCTTTTTACACAGTAATTATAATTAACGATATGGCTATCCCTGCTGAAACGTCATGAATATTCTTAAATTCTGCCCAAAACTTAAAATTTCATAACTATTATTTCCCCAACTCGGATTCAATGTCACTCTTATCAGAATTACTACCACATTTTCCATGAAATTTCGGAAAATTTCCAACAGTGAAGGGAAAAAGTCGGGACTTGAGTTTCATACTTTCTATCGTGATTGTAGACGAGGCATCGCTGCGCGGCTTGGTCGCGGTTGGAGGGGGGGGGGGCAAGGTCTAGGCTGCCACCGGCACTCAAGGTCACGAGTACGGCGCAAAGTCTGTCTCCCCCTCTCCGCTGTTTACACACACGTTTTCACAGTTACATTATCCACGGCTTCAAAACGAAAAGAGCGTTATCTCGCAGCAGTAAAGAATGCATCCCGGCAATTGGGTGATATCTTTCGTCTTCCCCTCTGCCGCATTGAAACGAATGAGGACGAGGAGTTCTCCTAGCGAGTCTGCAGCATCGATTTATCCATAAAAATTCTACCCCCTCCCCCCCTTCGTCCTCCCTATCACCCGGCTATTACTTCCTGCCCGGGACTTGATCCTCGCTCGACGTATTCCACGAGTGCAATCTCGTCTCGACGATATACCAAGCCCAGAACAGAGAGTAAGTGCGTCACTCCCCGCCGAATTACCTCTTTTTCAAAGGGGAAAATAAAAGGGAAAATCGATTTGCTGGGGTTGGAGGGGTGTGGGATTGGGGAAAAAGTTTTTTTCAGGGGGTGAGGGAGTTGGGGGAGTGGGAGATTTGGGGAGCACTGCCCATCGGTGGAACAGTTTCAATATTTAGTGGATAAAGGGGTTTAGAGGAGAGATTTTTTCTGTTCACTTTGTATTATTTTTGGTGGATGGGAAATTATCAGGAATGTTTCTTATGTTGGAAATTGGAAATTCGGAAGAAAGTTTTTCTTATTTCGTATTAAATAAATATTCTTTAAGGTTGTCCAAGGAGTTTGGCTATATTTTCTCCAGTGAAATGTTATTCTACTTTTGTAGTGAAACACCAGAGCTTTCATTTGAGTCTCATTTGACCCTAAGTTTTCGCATATTTCGCAATGAATTTATTATTTCAACTTTGTAGGTCTCAATTTCGGCTCGGAAGGCAATCTTGCACGCGGGGGAGGGTGATATGTTTTCCATGGCGAGGTGTGTATATTAATTTTCAATGTTGGATTTCCCTATTTGTTTATTCCTCCTTTACAAGAAGGCCAGATGATACTAGGATTCTCACGTTTGCACACTGATAGAATGATTCATTTATTCCAAACAAGATTCGTTAACTATTAACGAATGGTAGAGTTGAATATGACCAAATGAATATTCGTTAATAGTTAACGAATGGTTCACTTGAATGGCGAAAGTCAAGT